GTGTCATGACAGCAGCAATATTGTGGTTTATTTTATTAATTTCATTTAATTTCATTTCATTTCATTTCATTTCATTTCATATATTTATATATTTTCTTCATTGATATAATCAGACAGGTTTTGCTTAAACAGTAACCTAAACAACACTGTGTACCACCTAAAAGCCAAATCATTACTGGACCAGAGCACACATCAGTGCTGCTAAAAAAAGTTGGCCCATAAGGAAGATTGATTTGGCCTGCCAGAACCCCACCACCTCCCAAATGAGAGAACCAACATATTTTATACTATATAAAACTGTTCTTTTTTTTCTTTACTTACTGTTCTTCGTAATCTTATTATTATTCTACGCTCAAATTTGTTAAACTTTTCACAATCCACAGTTTTTGACATACCACCACCAAGTTTTGCACATAGGTTCCTCATGAACGGGAACAGTGCACTTCTGCTTTTTGGACAATTTGTCATATGGTTTTTGTAAAATGATCTTTCAAAGAAATGAAAAATGAAGGGCAGAATATTCCAAACATTAAAACTGCCACAAGTGATGTCACAATGCACATCTCTCACACAGACACTCATACACAGTACGCACAGACTAACACGCTTACAGCCTAATGCACAGCAATGACAGCAAAAAAAACAGAAAAGGAAAGTTCATAAAAGAATTTTAAGTTGGCTTAAAAAACAGCTAATTATGTTAAAATGGTGTAAGACTGTTGATGGTGGCTGAAGTGTTGCTTAGATGTTGCTCAGCGGTTGCTCTGGTATCCTAGGTTGTTGGTAAGGTGTTGCTAGGTGGTTGCTATGCTATTAAACATACTGGTACCTTAAATTCACTGCTTCCTTAAATTTACTGCCACTGTAAATCCAATGCCTCCTTAAATTCACTGCCACTTTAAATTCACTACCACTTTAAATCAATTGCTACTTTAAATCTTATGCTGCCCTAAATTCATTGCTACCTTAAATCCACTGCCTTTTTAAATTCACTGCTACCTTAAATAGATGGCTACCTTAAAACCACTGCTTGCTTAAAGCCATTGTTACCTTAAATCCACTGCTTCCTTAAATCCATTATTAGGTTGGCTTGGAAAAGCCAACTTGCTGTTCTTCGTAATCTTCATATTATTCTACATTCAAAAAATAAAATGTTTCTTGTCCTGCAGTTTTTGAGCTAGAACTATGAAACAGAATTGTAGGACCTATGCCTGAATTCATTGCTTCTGCTTTTTTAAGCAATCTGATGAATGTCTTTTGTAAAATGATTGTTCAATATTTTTTTATATTTATTCATAATTTAAGGTACCAATGGATTTAATAGCATAGCAACCATCTAGCAACACCTTACTAATCAATCTGGATACCATAGCAACCGCCTATCAACATCCAAGCAACACTTTAGCAACCATCAACAGTCTTTCACCATTTTAACATTTTAACGTAATTAGCTGGCTTTTTCAAGACAGCTTAGTTTGTTCACAAACTTTCTATTTCTAGGTTCTTTTACAATTATATGTTTGAAGCATGCTAGTAACAATATATAGTGTAATGCTATAAAAATACATATGAAAGGTGATGCAACCTGTCAAATTCATACTCCACACAGTCCCTCCTCCACCCTCTTCACTCCTCCCCCTTTTTACTTACCAGTCTAGAAGAAATGTTGCAAGTTCAGGATCAAACTTCATGCTTTTACATGCCAAGAGCCGTCTCCAGCGGTGGAAAGCAACGGCAATGTTAACTCTTGTTTTGCTTCTATGTATGTCACTTCCTTTCTTTGTGGTTTCTTGTGGGAAGCGGACAAACTACTTCCTCCTCTTATGTTGAACTGTAAACTTGATGCTACAGTGACTCACTCTCCTCTTGAGGTACAAAGTGGTTTACTATAATGAGACAAGACAGGCTGGGGCTAGCCGGTTAGCATGCTAACTTCAGTAGATATCTCTGCAACACGGTACAGAGATGTCTTTGACTTAACATCAAAACTGTTATTTCTTCTCATTCTGTTGATAATTGTACTTCATTTTGGAATGTTTCAAAATCTTACCAGTTTAAACCAGTTTTTTATACCAGTTTTATACACACCTCCTTTATTTGCATATCGTTTTGTTTTTTTTTGGGGTTTTTTTTTGGCCCCTCAGAGGTGTTCCACAAATGTCTAGACTTGGTGCCAATGTAGTCTCTGTGGGCCCCCATCCCAAATGTAAAATTACACACCCAAAGTTTTAGTCCAGGCACCTTAAGGACCCCCTCCACCCAAGGTCCCTAAATAGCTACTTCCACTATTCCCCCAGCTGTGACTGAGCAATGTTTGTTGAAGAAAACTACAGGCTTAAAATGCCCAAAGCGTGCCAGTCCTAAATGGCGAGTCTCCAGCACATCTGGAACAAAAATAGGTGCCGCGTGTGTTTGCCTACATGGCATTGTATTGCGATATTTGTGGGGACCCTGTATTAATCCTGATATAAAGGCCCTCCTGAAGGAGAAGAAGAGGGCTTTTAAATCAGGTGACAAGGAGGAGATGAGATCTGTGCAGAGGGAGCTGAGAAGGAAGATCCGGGAGGGGAAAGCCAGCTACAGGAGAAAGATGGAGGCCCAGCTGCAGCAGAATAATGTCAGTGGAGTCTGGAATAGCCTCAAAACTATTTCTGGACTCAAGAAGCCCGACTCCCGGGCTGTGGGGGACCACAAGTGGGTGAATGAACTCAATCTATTCTTTAATAGGTTTGATCACTCGCCTGCTCCCCCCACCACAGGCACATCACTGCTGAATTCTCCCTGTCTGGCACTACCAGCATTTGGCCCTCCCCCCTCTCCTGCACCCACCCCCCTTCATCTCAACACACAGCCACCATCAGACGGCTCTCCTGCTGACATACATCCCAGCACTGTTCTCCCTTACTCCAGCCTCACATTCACATCATCCCAGGTGAGAAGTGAGCTCAGGAGGATGAAGATCAGGAAGGCTGCAGGTCCAGATGCCATCAGCTCAAGGCTTCTCAAGACCTGTGCAAACGAGCTGTGTGACGTGGTCGGGTACATCTTTAACCTCAGCTTGAGGTTAGGGAAAGTCCCACAGCTGTGGAAAACATCCTGTGTGGTGCCAGTGCCAAAGACCCCACACCCCAAAGACCTCAACAGCTATAGGCCGGTGGCGCTGACATCTCACCTGATGAAGACCCTGGAGAGACTGCTTCTTGTCCACCTGCGCCCCCTGGTGAGCTCTTCAATGGACCCACTGCAGTTTGCCTACCAACCTGGCATTGGAGTGGAGGATGCCATCATCCTCCTCCTACACAGCTCTCTCTCTCACCTGGAGAATGCTGGGAGCACTGTGAGAATCAT